TGCACTGCTGCTAATCCAACATATAATCATATCAAAAACTCAGTACTTCAAAATTAAGGAAGATTGATCGAGTATATCTAGAATTATACCCCTCAAACCTTACGCAACTTTGGAGTTTCAGCGTAGTTAATGGGACCTTTGATGTGACATCAGAGCAACCCAAGTCTAGAAATCCTAACAACCATGCATTTAAGAAAATTGATTTTTAAAAATTGATATGGCTGTGTGGTTCCAGGTTAAGGTAGCCATAGAACATGTTAAGAGTACAAAAATATAACCCCCAAACCCTCTCCGCAGCTTGTAGGTTTACTACAATGGAAGGGACCTTTGACAAATATCACCAATGAATTTAACACTATATCTCTCACCATTCACTATCAACTCAAAATTAGTCAAAATGTGATAACTTTAAGACACTCTCGTTTTGTACAGCATCTATAAAGTCGCCAGCATACTAGAAACTTTTCATTAATCCAAAAAATTTGCAATTAAAAAGGAAAAATTAACTAACAGTTCATGCAATTTCTGCAAAGCTAATGGAGGGAGCTCCATCAATAATCCATCAAGAAATCCATCGAGAAAATGCGATGGCAGCTCGAACAATTCCTCAGCCCCATCACATCCTGCAACCAATTTTTTTTTTTAAGTTGAAAATACAATTAAAATCGGACCCAGGAAATAGCATTCGAAGCATATTTAACCTCTATGAATGATTAAGTAATGAGATTTACCATTAATAATTTGAGCTGAGATTGATTTGATACAGAGAGAGAACAGCGAGGCAACCTCAACCATTTCTGTGTAGCTCTCACCACCGCGATCTAAAAAGAATCTAGAAAAATAGATAAGATAGTAAAAATTAGGGGTAATTACTAGCGAAAGATCAAGAAATCAAAGCGCCAAAATTTTGGTGAGCGAAATGAATTTACCGCGGACTGCGATTTGATCTGTGAGCAGGAGAGAGAAAGAGTGAGACTTGGGAATTGGGATATAATAAGGGGGTGTTTGTTTTGCTTTTTTTTTTGGGATATGATAGTTTTGGGATGTAAAAAGTGTTTTTTTGTGGTTTTAAAAATCCATAACTTTGTTTGTTTCACTTTTTTTTTGGGATATTGAATCCCTAAATTATAAAACAATAATATTTTATTAGGATTTGTGAAATCCTCTCTCTTGTTTCCATCTTTTTTTTGGGATATAAGGTTTTAGAAATCGATAACTTTGTTTGTTTCAAAACCAATTTTGGGATATCAAATCCCAAAATATTAAAAACTATTATATTTAGGCATTTGTGAAATTCTACACTTGAGAAAGGATGTGGGTTGGATATTGATGTATTAATGCTTATAATATAAGATTAATATATTATATATAATATTATAATAATATAATATTTAATATAATACATCTATATATATATATATAAAATTTAATATATATATATAAAATATAATATATATATATATATATTGTATTATAT